CAGTGTTTGCAAGCTGAGCTCCCGGTGCGCGTTCCACTTGCAAAGCTCTACAGCAGGCGCGTGCCCGCGTACTCGCTATAGAAAACAAAGCTGAACGTCTTCCATATCAGCTAGGGGTGCAGACGTGAGGAATATCCGAATTTATCCTGGATACATCAGACAGAATATGGATTTACTGTGGGTGTAGCATCGTTGCAGACCGAGCCTTCTCGGCCGGGGTGACGACAGGACATTGGTGAAACCGACGAAAAATAACATCTGTGTGATTTTTTTTCCTCGGGGTGCTTTGTCTTGTCCACCTAACGATAGCAAACCATCATTCTCGTTTCAATTGCAAGCAAGTCAGCTAGTAACACTAGCTGCCGTCGGGATGTATCATCATGTTGTCACCTAAAACTAACTGCTAGGACGGCGGATTGTGAAGGAAGACCAGAAATCCTCTCCCAGGTCCCAACGGGCTGACACCGGGACCTGAATCTGTTAGCCAAAGCCGCGGAACCCACTGTTTTCGGCGATATGGCGGAGCAAGGCTACTCATCCTGGTGAGTGCGTACAGGCGCTGCGCTACCGATTAGTAGTAGCTACCTAAAGCTAGCTGCTGCTACTGCTAATTCCGACTGCAGTGAGAAATAAAGACAATGAAATGTTCGCTATTTTTCACATACATATATTTGTCTAATCACACTAAAGTGTTTATTAGCATGCGTGACCGTGTAGGCACCAACATATCACATCCACATAAATATTTTCACAGTATTTCAGGTATCGCTAAAGGCTAACTTGATCCTGCTTGTTAGCTAGCAGCGGCTAATGCTGTGCTAACTTTATTCAGCTGCAGTCAAATCCAATGATGCTATTGTGAGCGAGCGCTGAAGAGCTAACTCCCCAGCCGACGAGTTGATATGCTCTTAGAGAAACCTCGCGATTTGGTCGTTTTATAGTATAACTACAGGCTGAACACAAATCGTAAATTTAAGCAATAGATTGAAATGTATTTGGTGCTATGAAGCAACACATTTGACGTTAGCTATTTTAGCGTTTTGTCGTCGACCGACAGCATACAGTAACAAAGGTTATGCTAAATTAGCATCGCAGTCATGATACAATAATGCCCGTTTCTTTTTGTATAATGTGGGTCGCAGCTGATTGTCACAACCGAACGGCTTGGGATTAGTTAAGGACATATGTCTAAAAGCTGGTTTTTGATGTTATGCTTGAATTTTACAACTCCGTTTAGAGTTGGTTTGGCAAAGAAACTTACTTCAGTTCAATTCAATTCATAGATGCATTATTAATCCCAGAGGGAAATTAGAGTTTCAGTACACACAATTCAGAGATCAGACATACATACATAGACATAGACACATGACAAGAATTGGTGACTGTGGTCATTCGCAACCCGAGTCGCGCTACCTTAACAGAGATCAGAGGGGTTTATACATGAGGATTGAGTCAGGTGGAGGAGAGCTCAGAAGAGCGTTGTCCTCATGAATGAAACTGGGCAATTTATCAAAGCCTAAATTAGTTTGTGGTGGTTAAATTGTTGCAGGAATTCAGTCAATGTATTATTTCTAAAACGTTATTGGGTTTATATTCCAAAACACTGATGTCCAAAGAAGGGAAAACACATAGAACATAGGAGTTCAAATGGGATATAGATTATTGATGTCCTATGGGAAATTAATTTGTCACAACTGTTTAGCTGTTGTTGGGTTTTCACATATTTTTTAATCTTTTGAACTCTAAACACTTTCCATAGAGGTTTTTGTGGAATTGTTTTGTTAATGTGTATTAAAGGTGTATGGTTATAGGGTGTTGTGCAGGAGAACCACAAGTGCGGACAGATTTCTGTATTTAGATTTCGATCACAGACTTTATATTTACAGAAAGAATTGAAATACACTATAAAAAACATTAGCCATCACATTCATTCAGCATGCCTTTTTGTTTTCATGTTTGACCAAACTCAAACATAAAGGGCATAAGTACTGGTTTTGGGAATGTTTACAGAGGAAAGTAACATCATCTATGGGTGGTAATATCAATCTTCAGGGCTTCACATGTAGTTTTTGAGAAGCTCAGTGTGCTAAAACATTTTTCAGAATAATTGTGGGGTATTGCAAAAGAAGAATGTATGTTTTTCTGAGTTTTTTCTAAAATGTTGTTGATTTTGCAATCTTTACATAAGTACTTGATTGTGGTTTTTATGGATTTTTTTTGTTCCTCATTGGTGAGAAAGCACCCTAATGATTTGAGTCTCAGAACACAAATTTTGTAGTGTTCATACAAGAAAAGTAAAAAAAGAAAATATTTCTTGAGAAGCTTTTATGTGTAGAAATGTTATGGCATTAGGGCTGTAGCGAAGCCTCGACGAAGTGGACGGCTCGATTCTAAAAATTTGTCGACGTCAGATCCGGAAGTCGACGCACCGCGCCCACTTGTTGCATCCCCAGGAGTTTGTAAATAGAGGAGGAATCTGCCTGTTTTTCCTCTAGTTCGCCCTCTTCTCCGCCTTCACTAACATCTCCGCCAAATACCGAAGACCCAGAACAACGTCCGTCCACTACTAGATTATTTTCCTGTTTTGCCCGCCTTCGTCTCCCGGCAACGGACAACAACTTCCGGGGTCAGATGCGCTGCTTCGTGTCTACCGCAGATGTAGAAAATCACCGGGAGCGCTTCTCCCTTCATTAAGGAGCTTCTTTCAGACATTAGGAGAGCTGTTTTGGTGGTAGCAGTCTCTCCTCCGTGCTGGTCTGTTTGCTGCTGGGTGTTTTTGGTTTATTTAAACTTGGTAACTTGAACTTAACGTTGGTAAAGCTACTGTTAGCATCTTCGCTAACAGCTTCTTGCGTTGGGATAAGCTGTTACGTTTTGGTTTAGAGTTCATCTTTTTTGTGGTGCAGATCTCCCTTTTATTACCTTTAGAGTGTTGTGGGTTTTCGGTTTAGTTTAAAATATCACCTGAGTTTGGTTTAACCCGTAAGACCACTCGCCTCACGCACATAAGTGACCAAAACAAAGCAGCATGGAGACACTCCATCTTCTACCACCTCTCAGGCAGCAGCCTGCACTCCCACGTTCTACACGTCACCAGAACATAACCAACCAACACAATAAAGGCAGTGTTATACAAAATGGAAGGCCTGTAGTGTTTATTCTCTTACAGTAAGAATTTATCAATTTTTTTGAGGAATTTATTTGAGATTTTCTGGTTTTTGTTAATTGTGCAATAGAAAAATAATCATTAGATTAATTTTCTAAATAGTCATTAGAATAGTCGACTATTCGATAAAATAATCGTCAGAATAATCGTTTTAAAAATAATCGTTTACCCCCAGCCCTATATGGCATGCCTGGTTATTGATACATTTATTTAGCTTCCTAGTAGGGCTGCAGCTATTGAATATTTTTGTAATCGAGCACTCTGTCGAATCTTTTATCGATTAATCGAGTACTCTAATAAATTACCCTTTTGTGTTTGTAAACCATTATATTAAATAGCATGTTATAAAATACGAAAGACCTCTTAAAATGAGCAAGTAATTGCTAGTTATTCTTCAAGTTTTATTCAAAAATAGTTTTCGAAACTTCAGCACTTCAACTTTACTTCACAGTAAACAAATGCCTGTGCAAAAAGTAAGTATACAACCTGAGCCGATTCTCCCCTCGTGCGAGAATCTACTAGCCTGGCAAGCCAGACAAAAACTAGGACGATAACTGTTTAAGTAGCGCTGTGAGCGGCTGTGGCGCAAACAACACCAGAACCGCTCACGGCGCATGCGCAAACATGGCTCGCCAGCTGTTTCCCTATTAACACACATCCGTTTTATTTTCTACACTTTTTTTCCCACACACAATAACAAGGATTGTCGAGAAAGCATGTTTGCCGTGGTTATGTCAAATTATACTAATCACAAAACATTTATTTACTTTCTTCCGTTTTCCTCCGTCACTCTCATAAATACCTGTCCTCCAGCAGCAATCCCGAGGGACAACAGACCTCAATAACAACACAAAAAGTCTGATGTGTTGTATAAAAACTGCTATTTTTAGCACATTTTTAGGTCCGGCATGTTGCTACCAGATGCGCAGCATGAGCTGAAACCATCGACATAAATATTAAACTGAGTGCTACAAACGAAAAAGTCGCACTGTGTCCGCAGAATATATAGCGGACCTCCGAGTCCGCTTGCTGCAGCACGAGGATGTGGTGTTGTGGTAGGCTAAATCCATTTTACAGTATTTACTCTGGACTACGTTTTCCGCCTTACGAAGTGAAAAATGGTCCCACACCTTTGACATTTTCGGTCTTTTTCGCACTCCACCGGTGTCCACGTTGTCCGCCATGGCTTAAGAGAAAGTTAAGTTATATTCGCTTCTCGCATGTGCTTTCAGTGCAGTGTGCATGTGCGTCACTTATTTTGGTCTGGGTGAAACATGACCTTGGGCGATTGCAAAGCCAGGAATTAATTAAACATAAATTAAACAAAGCCTCAGAGAAGTTGACTCGAGGCTTTTTTGTACTCGAATTATTCGAGGTACTCGAGGAATCGTTTCAGCCCTACTTCCTAGCATGTACAATCATTTCTAAATTTGTTAAATTTTCATAGGATGTAGCCAAACTGCCCCATTAAAGTAATCTTTGAAAACAGGAAAAGTAGATGCCATCTTTTTTTCTCTCATCAGATGGCTTGTTGTGTTGAGATCTATTTCCCACGTCAAGATTATTTTCTCCACTTGACTTGACGTGCACATTTGTGTATGGAAGGCTGAAAATCTTTTCGTATGTATGTTATTAGTCAGGTTTATGTATTTGATGTGTGTTACATTTTTTCCCTACAATTTTTCCCTTAATGGGAAACCAACTTCAGTTGTGAGATTTAACCATCGAGTTGTTTTCCTACTGCGTTTGTCAAAAATGGGACAAAAGAAAATTAAAGCTCTTTTGAAATTAATCTTTAAATGTCCTGTATAAACTTAGACATTCATAATGTCTCCTACTCTTGTGGAAAGTAAACTAAAACCCAAATAGGGAATTAAACACAGAGCAATAATTTGTCATGTTGTTAAGCGCAATACTTGTGCATGATTATGCGTATAGTTTAAATCAACCGGAAGTTGTTATTGTTTAGCATTTAGTATTGGATCATTTATAGATGACATTTGCATTCATGGGTGTATATTTGCATTTTTCAGTGAATTCTTGTTGCTGTTACTGGGATCGATTAATATTGCAGAACTAAGAGTTGGGTTGCCACATGGAAACTTGAACAGATGTCACCTACACCCCTCTGAGATATATTAGTAGCCAGAACAACTCCAGATGCAATCAGATCAATCTGATCAGTTAATTCTGTGTGCTTTTACTATTCAATTTTTCTGTCATGTGATGTGTAGAGATAATTTGTCTAATTACCACGTCAGGAGGCAGTGTGAAATACCAAAGCCCATCAAAATGCTATCTAAGCAAATATAAGGAAAACAAAACTTTCATGCAAGATTGAAGCAAATACAGTGAATAAACATACTCTCAAATGTT